ATGAGACGTTTGATCTCTAGGAAAGAATAAAAATATGACGCATCCATCATCTAGATGCGTTGAGATTTGAGGCCATAATGTACCCTTTTCAAAATAATTTAAACGCTTGGAACATTAAATATTAGATAGGTGTTTTGACAGGAAAGAAGGGAGCAAACCACACTAAAGCACCCACCAACCCGCCACTCCAAAAATTGTGTGTGCTGTCCCCGGCCAGCCAAGTCTATTTACACCCCCCCCCCCCCCCATTCAGCTGAAATATGGTCTATTGACCTAGGAAAAATCAAAAACAAGAGCTCCCTCAAAGCCTTCTCCCATGTATTCTCAATCCCCAGTCAACCTCGTGTATTCTCAATCCCCTGTATTCTCAATCCCCTGTACTCTCAAGCTCCTGTATTCTCAATCCCCTGTACTCTCAATCCCCTGTATTCTCAAGCTCCTGTATTCTCAATCCCGTGTATTCTCAAGCTCCTGTATTCTCAATCCCCTGTATTCTCAATCCCCTGTACTCTCAAGCTCCTGTATTCTCAATCCCCTGTACTCTCAATCCCCTGTACTCTCAAGCTCCTGTATTCTCCAGCCCACCGTTGTCTCACCAAACGCGTCCTCCCGTCCCACTCACTCACTCACTCACTCACCCACCCACTCACTCACCCACCCACCCACTCACTCAGTCACTCACCCACTCACTCACTCACTCACTCAGTCACTCACCCACTCACTCACTCACCCACCCACCCACTCATTCACTCACTCACTCACTCACTCGTACAACAAAAACCGGCCCCACAAGAGGCTCATTAAAGCTTTCACCTTCGCTCGCCGTCGTAAAGCGTCTGCGTGTTAATCAATCCAATGCACTTCCACGTTCTATGCCATTAAATACCGCACCACGCCAACTTGGGCACAGTGGACACAATCAAATATATACTTACAACATGCATTGTATTACCGTCTCGGACACAAAAAATTATGGGTAAATAGATAAAACATGTATAAAAATCTTGGGGAAAGGATAATACTTAAAGCAATGATTTACTGATTGTCACTTAGACATTCTTTGGTATCAACTTAACGGCATTTACATAAATAGTGGTAACATTTCCAAATTCGATCAGTCAACAAATCTTTTTGGTAGAAAGTAAAGAGAAAGGCTGCAACACAAAGGCCGACTTAGGTCAAAGCAAGAGGAGACAGACAGAGACAAACGGAGGATAGCGAAGCAGAAGAGCTCTCACCCATCTCTCTCTCGATCAATAGTTCACACACATTCAGGGATTCGTTATAAACACTGAAGGTCTCAGACACACGCTCTTTAGTTTTAGCTCTAGTTCTAGAAAAATGTGTTTTACAGCACTTGTGACACAAAAAGGTCAAACGAGCGCTGACGATTAGAAGCGTTACTGGAGAGGAATTCACAAAAAAAGGAGGAGAGAGAAAGACGATAGACAGATGTTGATAGAAAAGAAGGAGCAAACTACACCAGAGCACCCACAAACCACCCACTCACACACATGCTCTGTACATCCATGCAGGCAAATATTCATATTCATACTTACACATACATACATACATCCATACATACATACACCCACACAAACATATATACATATAAATCCCAGTGCACGTTTTCAAAAGTTAAAACTGTAAGTATTACATTTATTTATATTGCTTAGCACTGATCTTGTCACCTAGATGGGTGCATCATAGAGACTGAGATTATTTCCATGTCATGTCCACAAAAGGGAACGCAAGCTCAGACCACCAACCATTGTGTACAGCCACAGATAGGAGTTTCCTTCAAAATCCTCCAAAACAATCAGAGTTTGAGAAGAAAAAAAGTTTAAGTCACCAGTCGCCGTGACTGGCACAAGTTAATACCCTCCAACCACCCACATTCAAAACTGTCTGGCACTTTTCTTGTTATTTCAGTTGAACCCCTTTTCCAAAGGTCATATCATGAGAAAGATTGGCCCGAACTCTTTGAAGTTTTGAACACACCAGCCAGCCAAACTACTATACAAAGTGTACAGTCTTCTTATTGCACCAAAATCAATATTCACTTGACCTATTCTTAACCCCACAAATGTCGACAGCCAATTAAATTGACTGCCGTAAAGTTTCATTTTCTGTGTCGCAGCCACTTCAATAGCCTGTAATCGGAGTCCATCTACTGCTCCGTTAACACTTTGCCACAATATTTTGAGGAAAATCCAATGAAACTGGGTGGTAAACATCGCCAATCGGCGACATGAGGCGGCAAAGTGTTAATCCCATTTTTTAAATAAACTCCAAACATTTCAGCTCCTTTACAAAAGAGCTCTACTTCCTATTTCTATTATTCTACCTTCTGGTAAGGTATAAGTTTATGGCATTGACCCGCTTGGACTTCCGATTCTCTGGAAAGCAATTTTCCAATATAATATGGTGAAATCAAATAATTACCCCTGACAGCACAGGCTATTTGTTAGGGCCACTAGAAGAGTGAAATAACCTCTCTCAATCACAAAACAAAGGCAGAGAGCAGGAAAAGAGGAGAGACGGAGAAAAACCCTGACTACCCGGACAAAAATCATTTTACCAATTCAGAAAACAGCTGTGATAGAAAACACACACACACACACAGACACACACACACACACAGACACCCACACACACATACATACCCACGCACAAGCCAGATCACTAATGAACGTATCGAGTGAGATGAAGAAATACGAGGATCAATCACTATCACTTTGAAGGTCAGCCAATTCTGCGCAGCTTGAAGAAAAAACAAAGTCTTTGGTTGCAAACATTGGAAAGAAGGGATGGAAAATCAGTCAGCAGGGTGCCTCAGAGGCAAAAAACACTTGTCAAAGTCTCTCCACAAAAGCAAACAGAAAGATGTTCGACAAATTTCAGCCTTTACAATAACCTTCATGAATAATATTTAGTTTTTATCACATTTAAATAACATTTTCATAAAGAAAATCTGTAAGACTTCACAAAAGACTTCTGAAAGTCATCATTGCAGGTTCTAAACCAGTAACAGAAGTAGAGACGATGGACTCACTCAGTAACCAATCAAAACTGGACATTTTTCAGTGAAATACTTCCCACTTATTTCAAAGCGACACGCACAAAATTCCGGAAGGAACAGACGCCAGATCTATATCATGAATTGCACAAAAAGACGGCCCAGGGGGCAGACAGAGAGAAACCTTTTTCTCCACACAGGCACATCATGCAGACTCCAAACAGGTACACACATTACATAGTTTAGAAAAAAATCCTAGCCATACCTTTTGGTAGGGTAAAATGAGTTTTGGTAGGGTAAAATGAGCATTTATCGAGCGCGCACACACACACGCACACACACACAAACATGATGATTCAACTGTTCAACTGTATCCTGTACCCACTTTCTCCGCACAGCCATGTTCTGACATCCATCTAACTCACTTTCTCCACACAGCCATGTTCTGACATCCATCTAACTGTCACTTTCTCCACACAGCCATGTTCTGACATCCACCTAACTGTCACTTTCTCCACACAGCCAAGTTCTGACATCCACCTAACTGTCACTTTCTCCACACAGCCATGTTCTGACATCCATCTAACTGTCACTTTCTCCACACAGCCATGTTCTGACATCCACCTAACTGTCACTTTCTCCACACAGCCATGTTCTGACATCCACCTGTCACTTTCTCAACCTTCACATTATAATGAAGGCCCTCACTCATCGGGCCTCAGAAAAATGGTAATGCTTTGTGGTAAAAGAAATTAAAAGAAGCTAGCATCTTCACGATTTTGATTATGAATGCTAAGTCGATAGGGTTTTCATTATATTATTTAAAAAAAAAAAAAAACAGGTAAAAAAACAACAAATTGAACAACCAATAACAACAAATTGTACACAAATCAGTAATGCTGTTTTCAGCAGTTAAAAAGGATGCCTCTGAAATAGATGGATGCAGAATGAATGAAACGACAAAAAATGTCTCTGAAATAGATGGACAGCGAACCAATGAAATGACAAAAAATGTCTCTGAAATAGATGGACAGCGAACCAATGAAATGACCAAAAATGTCTCTGAAATAGATGGACAGCGAACCAATGAAATGACCAAAAATGTCCACATTAACACAACAGCTGGGTACAGAAACACTGGGATGGGCAACACAAAGGCATGCAAGAACAATAGCTACTAGTACACAAGCATCATAAAAACCAAAGAAAAAACAATTCTCCAGACATAAATAGAATCTAACTTACATCATCAACATCACTGTTTGACTAAAAAATAACAGCAGGCAGCTGCAGCATAGAATATAAAAAAAGCTCACAGGATTTCAATGGACTAGCATCATCACATCGTTTGCAAAAGTGTACATCATTGCCAACAAAGCCAATACAGCATGGGGAGGAAAAAAAACACAACAAAAAACAAAACATCCAAAACATTTCACCATTTTATAACACCAGGAAAAAAAGGTGCCGGCCCCAAAACCCTCTCCCCTCAAACACAATTTCCCGCGTGGGATGGCAAATTAAAACCAAAAAAGTCTTTTCCAGGCAAAATGGAAAAAAAAAACCGAAACAAAACAAGCTAGCACCCATAGAAGCTTGGGACTCGAAGACAAAAGTTTGGTACAAGGAACCAGCGCCGGTCCCTTCACCACAGGAGCACCACTGTGAATATCGAGATGTCGCAAGAAAGTCTTGACGACCTTTGCCTCCCCGTCAAAGCCATAGACTTGTTCTAGAATATCCCGCCAAGACTGTGCACTCTGGCATCGTTCCCCTTCACCACTCTGTTTTTTAACCAAACGAAGGGCAGATTGGGAAAGGTTGCACTCAAGCACTCGGCTACACCAAGATTTTGTGTATTCAGGGATGCCAAATGATTTTTGAAAAAAACCAAACCAACCTCAAAATGAGCGGAGCATCACATCTCACCTAAAACGAACCTTGTAAAGTTTTTAAAATAGCAAAACAAAAACATCTCTCTTATCTCTCCCCTTTCCTTTGCAAGTGTAGGAGAAAAAAAGCAGGAACAAAACGTAGATTTGGCATCCCTGTGTGCTGCCCTTCATTTGTGCGCAAATGGTATGCACCGGAGAAGCAACGCAACGCTTTCCTGACTATCAATAATTTATTTATAGAGCAATCCATGTCCAGGTGCTGTCCTAACCAGCAACGTTTTCATAGGGAACAAAAAGTAGCATCCAAAACAGTGCCTGGCCTAGAATATTCTAACTCAAGTCCATGTTTGAAACTAAAAATTCACATTACCATAAAAGCTATGAACATACATAATATGTTAGCATAGGAGCCAGGACTTTCTATCTATATTCTATATATATCCTCTGACAATGCAAAAGCCCAGCAGTCAAAACTACCAATATACACCCAAAAAAAGGACTCCGATCCTGTCTAACAGCCGGGGTAGCACTCGACTCTGACTGCCGGCCTCCTGACTTGGTTCCAAAGCAAACATCTAGTAGGTTTATATTCGCTAAGTAAAAGAAAACCCAGCAATGTTATGTCACAGACTACCTACTCTAAAAGCGTTTCTTTAATTACAAAAAAATTATTATCTCCAAAATTTTAATAATAATGGCATTTACATGGCGCACAACAACCACGCTGTGCAGAATGTGCTATGCGCTCTACAACTCTTGAACAACCCCCCCCAAAATCCATAACTGGAAGAAAACACACAAAGAGTTCTTCACAAAATCCAATTAGTGCGCAGACTTCAGCATGCTGGACAGGAGAGAATACTCTTTGGAGATGGCTTCGTCCTCGGGACTGGCCTTTGAGATGACTTTATCGACAGCCGAGTGCGAGTGGAGGCTGTGGCCGCGTGGCGAGTCCACCTCCACCATGGCTTTGGGCTTGGACTTACAGTTGCTGATCAGAGCTTTGATGTCGCTCAGGCAGCTTTCTCGGGGTGGGCAGTCCGACTCGGGCGAGCCCACGCGCCCCTCGCTTTTCTCCTCCATGACCTCGCACGCCGACAACTTCTGCCTCTGTCGGCTCAGCTGTAGAGGGGAGGAGGAGGACAGGATCTGGGAGGCTTGACCGCTGGGCAGCAGTGACAGCGCTCCAATACTTAGGGAGGGTGGTTGCGACAGGGAGCAGGACGGGGGCTGTTGTGCGCGTGCTGACAAGCCAGAAGACGCGGAGAGGTTGGGGTTCGACGCCACCCTGGCGACTAAAGTGGCGGATGGCGGAGATGAGGAAGCAAAGTGAGATGAGATGTTGTTGTTGTTGTTGTTGTTGCTGGAGACGGCCGAGTCGATGAGGAAGTTTGGCAAGCTGGTAGCAGCAGAAGCCGCGGCGTCTTCCCTCGCGGGGGAAAGGAGAGCACTCTTTGCGCTCGTCACGTCCAGCGACACAGAGTCTTTTCCTTTGTGGCCGGTGCCGCCGCCCACGTCTAGCCTGGCTCTCTTACTGGCCGGGGGGGAGGGGCAGCAACTGTGCAGATCTTTCTCTTCCTGTTTGCGGCCGCCCAGTGCCACGCTCTTCAACAGCTGCACCGCGGGCGACCCCTGTGTGGGGGAGGAGTTGGAGGACAGGTGTTGCGGAGCGTCCTCTTGCTCCATCTCTTCCCGGCGCACCGAGCTGGACACTGGGCAGTCTGAGCGGTCAGACCTGAGCCCGCCCGCCCCCTCCCCGCACGACGAGTGGACCGTGGAGGAGTTGGCCTCCAGCACCACTGTGGCCGAGTCGCACGCCTGACTAGACTTGAGGTTGGCTTGTGCGATTCTCAGCAGGTCCGCCTCGTTCCTCACCACCCACCGCAGCTTCCCCACCGACATAATCTCCACTTCCTGGTCGCCGAACAACAGAAGATTCTTCTCGTACTTGGGCTTCGGCAGACTCACTTCGTGCTGAACCTTCGACACGTTTTCTTGCATGGACATGGAGGACATCGAGTTCTCCTTCACCGACTCTTGACCATCCCACACAACCTTAGTGCTCTCCCCTTGTTTTTCTACAAACTTGCCGCTCGAGTGCTTCTCCGCTGTCGCGCTGCGTGCCTGGTTCCTCGCCTGTTTGGACTGAGAGCTGCGCGAGGCTCGCCGCGTCACCTCCTTCCCCTGTCTCTGCGCGCCGCTGACACCCGCTGATTTCCCGCCACCCATCTCTTTGCTGCTGCTGCTGCTACTACTGCTGCTGCTGCGGTTATTGGAAGCTTCGGCTGGTGGTTTCTCCACGGGATCGGGTTTATTTTTTCCACCGTCTTTACTGGGAGAGGAGAGATCCAGGGGTGTGGGGACACTCAGGTTAGCAGCTGCCGCGGCCGCTGCGATGGCCACCGTGCCCGCCCCTCCCCACACAGGCTGCAGGGGGAAGTAACTCATCATGAAGGGCTGGGAGCCGGCCAGGTGGGGGGGAGCGAACCGCGTGTTGGCCATGACGGCCGAGGTGAGGCCCCGATCGGGGAGGTTGTAGTCGTAGACGGCGGGGAGCATGCCGAACTTGTCATAGCCTAGCGGGATCCCAGGGAACAGGGTCGGGTTTGTGGCGGCAGTCGCTGCAGCGGTTGTGGTGGAGCTGCTGGCGTTGGAGGCCGGTCTCGGGGTGGTCGGGGCGCTGGTCGGGGTCGTGGTGGGCGTGGCGTGGGCCGACCCACCGCCTGCTGAGGCCTGCCGCGGGCTGCTGGCGTGGGGGTGGGGCGCACTGGATGTGGACATGTCGCCAACACCACTACCGGTCACAGCAGCAGAGGCAGCAGACTTACGTGGCCGTCGTTTCACAGGTTGCGGTTGTTGTTGTTGTTGTTGAACCACAACAGCAGCTGGAGTCTCGTTCGCCACTGGGCTGGCCGCGACCGCCGGGTGATGGTGAGGAGACTTGGCAAGTGCAGGCTGTTTTCCTGGCAGGGAAACCAAACCTGACTGGCCGAGAACCATCACGGGCGCTGGGGAAGACGCCGCGACAACAACAACCGGATCCTCTTCCACACTGCTGGGTGCTGTCCCTTTAGAAGTCTCCCCGCCTAACGGAGAGGCCAGCTTTGACGATCCACTCTCGGGTAAAGCCAAAGACTTGGCCGCCAACTTCTGCCCTATGTTTTCAGACAACTGGGACATGGCACTAACTTTATCAAACAAAACAGAAGACAAGGAAGATGGCAGCGACGAGGAGGAGGAGGAGGAGGACTGCTGCGACACGACCAGCTCGTTCAACAATGAAGCACCGTGAGATAAATTTGATATGACTTCGCTTAGACTCGGTCGAGAGCTCTCCGATTTTGATTTCCGGCTGGGCTCCACAGTTGCCGTTGTGCTACCCCCACCACCACCCCCACCACTACCACTACCCCCACCACCACCACTGCCACCAGAACTGATCTCCACACTCCCCGCAGCACTAACCACATCCGAGGCACTTGCTGCTGATAATAACGACGACGACGGCAGCTTTTTCCTACTTAGATCTACCTCCAGCCGCTCGGGTTCCTTCTCTTTCTTCACACTAGCATTAGTGTTACCATTTCCCTTCATGGTAGAAATCTCCCCTTTACTAAAGTTCAGCACCAACACTTCCTTCTCCGTCACGAGATGGCTCATCGGAGGAGAAGCCAGGTCCGAGTCGGGTTTGACTGCGGCGGGTGCCGTCAGGTCGTGCACAACGCAATCCTCGCCCTCATTGTCCTCATCACAACCAATGGTCAGAACACACACCGGGCTGTCCACAGACGACAGCACTGTCACCTCCCCCTGCTCCTCCTTCACCGAATCCTTCCCTCTCCCCACGGTCGCCAGCGACACGGACGCCGCCGAACTCATGCTCAGATCGAGACTCGACTCCTCCACCACAACCCTCGTCTTTGACCCAGATTCCCCGTCCACAGTGTCCGAGCTCTCCGACGACGGTTTCTCCGTTAAATCTTCGGCCTTGACCTCCTGGCTGGCCTCTCCCCCTCCCGCGGCCTGTCTCCTGGGCTGTGTGTCGGGCCGGGGGCTGCGCGAGTTGTTGGCCGGCGACCCGGGCTGGAAGGACATCTCCCCCGACACGTGGGGCATGGTGGCGATGTACCGCTGCATAGCTTCCGCATCCAGCCCCAGCTCGTCCATCTGAAACATTTTTAAATAACAGTTGTATAGTACATAAATAAATAACTGTTGTATAGTCAAAAAATAAATCAAAGTTGTTTTTTTAGAAAATGGAAATGCGCAGTATAAATGCTATTTATTATTATTATTTGATAAATAAATAGCATTTGTACAGAGCAAATAATTGTAAAAATAAACATACATATAAATAGTAATTTTATATACAGCATAAATAATAAAAACCATAAGAAGAAAAAATAGCATTTGTATCGCACAAATCCCCGCTCAACAGCAAGCTCTAAGCACTTTACAATCTATATTGCTATCGTTACCCCAGCAGATGCTAAAACACTCCGAAACACTTTCGGCTGCCTGAAGAGCATACTGAGCAAGCAGTTGATTAAGCGCATAGACACTGAAACAGGCTCAGCGCACTTGTTGGTTCCACTGGTTACTGGGAAGACAACAGTCGAATCTCTGGTGTCCGTTGCACACGCTCAAGAAATGTTTTGTCTAAATTCCATTCCTAATATAATATTTAAAAAAACAAGAAAAGATACACAATATAGATACACTTGTCATAAGAATGAAAATGTTTTTTGTTTTTTTAACTGAAAAATTTTGCGTTCTGGACTTAACAGATTTATACAGCTAACCGAAACGATATCTTGTCTTTTCCTTACCTCATCTCCCTCTCCACTCAAGTCAAATCCCCTGCGGTGTGCCAGAGTTTTGTCGCGGATGATGCGATTGATGGAAGAAATGCTAGGAATGTTCTTCTCGGAGCAAACACTGTCCTGTAGCAGTCTGAAAGAGATTTTTTTTAGTTTTACAGCACTTGAATCACAAACAGGTCACATAAAGAGCCAAAGATTTGAGGTGTTACTACCAGAGATTAAAATGCAAAGGAAAAAAAAGGAGAGATGAGGATGACAGATTTTTTTTGGGAAAAAGGGAGTAAACCACACCGGAGCACCCACCAACCCAATATCACTCATTGGTATCATGGCAAACAGCCCACTCGTGACCCAAGCCAGACAGAATGCAGAATCTTTAGTTTTAGTAAGAGTTTTACAGCACTTGCAACACAATAAGGTCATATAAGTGCTGAAGATTAGAGGTGTTACAAGAGAGTAAGAAACATACAAAAGAAGGGGGGGAGATAAGACGATAGATTTTTATAGGAAAGAAGGAGTAAACCACACCAGATCACCCACCAACCACCCACAGAATGCAGCATCTACGAGATGAGAGTGGACTATTGACTATCAGAGGATGATGATTACTGATAAATTATATTTATTTAGATCTAGCTCAACAGATATAAATTCCACCACAAGGTAAGAAGACTCACAAAGGATTGAGTGGGGTTTTTTTCCCTCTTCACCACAGTGTACCAAAGCTACAGTGTAGCACTCGCAGAGTCAACATGCACACTGCTATCAGATTTTCAGTTCCCGATTTTTTCCCCTCCAATACATGTATATTCTTTGTATAGAAAACACGTATACAGCGAAATACGTGTATATTATGAAATGATTTTCCCTTTCTGCAAATTTCTCTATGTACGTCTTACAGACTGTATTTGGTCGCTTTAAGAACAAGCGGGCTCACTCAGATTTCCGGGGTTTCCAGAAATCTTGACCTACAGCAAAAGTGGGCATTGCCCTACCTATAGGAGAAGTTTGGTTTCATTGGTGTGTATATTTGTTTGGTTATAGAGAAAACTCTCCTTGTCTTTTAAAGAAACTGAACAAGGGACAAAAGCACAAACTTTACTTTTGATTTTCTCAAAGCAGCAGTTTTCGGGATAGCCCCCTTGTGCTTCACACTTTGCGGCCTCATCTCGCCAACTGGCGATGTTTACCACAGAGTTTCTTTGGATTTTCCCCAAAATATGATGGAAAAGTGTTAAAAGGGACAATCTCTTCCTAGCTACCACAAACAAGGACACTGCTCACTTCTGCCTGATCTCCCAGGCAAACATCTGCGGGTTGTCCAGCTTGTACTGCTTGACCATACTGACCACGTCCGGGGTGGTCACCTTGGGTTTGCTGCCACCAATCTGGCCTGGGTTGATGCTGCCAGTCTTGCGGTACCTGAAGTACAAAGTAAACTTATGACCTTTTAGTTTTAGAAGAGGTTTTACGGCGTTCGCAACTGCCTAAGGTCATATGAGCCCCAAGGGGTGGATGTCAACAGAGAAGTCTTTACAGGGAATCAGACTTACTCTGCTCACCTCTCTAGCTTCAACAGCACAAAGTCTGCTTCGACTATCAAGGCACCCTGGAAATAGTGGGTCACAAGAGTGTGACAAACATACAAAAGAAGTAGAGGTAAAATGATATGATAGTAAGGATTAGGAAAGAAAAAGCAGCAGTTCCCTGTTAGGCACAGTGACATTGATGAATCAGCCCATCTACAATTACAATTTTACTATGCACAAGAACATGGTTAATGTCCCTCCTTTGGGAATGGTCTAGACCTATGACCTGACTATACCGTCAGATGGTAATGAGGAAGCAATGGAGCAACGGTATAGGTTTAACGTCCCTATCAACACTAACTCTTTACGCCCTGAGTTTTTTCCACTGTTTCCCACAGATTTTTCTACAGTCACCTAAACCTAGAGCACTATGTCTCATTATAACCCCAAAAGCTTGCCTCCAACTTCTAAATGGTGGAAATAAAGGCTTAGTCATTACTAAAAAACTTGGTTTGGGAAAAGTTCTGAAAAACAAGCAAAAACTAGCACTAAATAAAACAAAACAGTTGTCACTAGTACTGGACGCTCCCAGCGTCTGAGGGGGTTCAAAGAGTTAAGAGAGAGGAAGATATCCACTACTTAGTGGGAAAACTACGACATCAGCCATTATGACAAGTGACTTATGACTTTGTAGTTTTAGTAACAGTTTTACAACACTTGGGAAACAATAAGGTCAGGTAAGTGCCGAAGATTAGAGGTGTTACAGGAGAGTAACAAACACAAAAAAGATAGGGGGAGAGATAAGAATGATAAATGTTTGATAGGAAAAAAGGAGTAAACAACACCAGGGCAACTGCATTGTATAAGCATGTGTATGCAACATGTGCATTCACATGTGTGTGTGTAGGCATATGAGTGTGTGTGTAGGCATATGAGTGTGTGTGTATGTGTGTGCGTGTGTGTGAGTGTGTGTGTGCGCGTGTGTGTATGTGTGTGTGTAGGCATATGAGTGCGTGTGTGTGTGTGTGTGTGTGTGTGTGGTGTGTATGTGTGTGTGTATGTGTAACATGCGTGTGTGAGCATGTTCGTACCGGTTGAGGATCTTGCTGACACAGCCGTGGGACACCTGCAGCTGCCGGCTGATCTCGCACGGCCGGATTCCCTGGAGGGCCAGCTGGAGAATCTGTACACGGAGGTGGTCAGGCAGGGGCCGGCCGTTGGTGAACTCGCGCCCGTACTGGTTGATGTTACGGCCACCTAGACACAGAGCAAGTGTGTGGGTTTTTTATATATTTTTTTTATAGTAGAGGGTTTTACGGCGCTCGCAACTGCATAAGGTCATATGAGCGCCAAGGGGTGGGTGTCAACAGAGAAGTCTTTACAGGGAATCAGACTTACTCTGCTCACCTCTCTAGCTTCAACAGCACAAGGTCTGCTTCAACTATCAAGGCACCCCGGAAATAGCAGGTCACAAGAGTGTGACAAACATACAAAAGAAGTAGAGGAAAAATGACAATAGGAAGGATTAGGAAAGAAAAAACAGCAGTTCCCTGCTGTTGATCAGGCACAGTTATGAGCGTGACATGAATCAGCCCATTTACAATTCTACTGTGCTTGAACGAGAAATGTCCCCCCTTTGGGAATAGCCTAAAGACACTACAGTCAGTGGCACTGCCCCGGGGTGTTGTGTGGGTTTGTAATGAATGTTGTTTGGAAATGTAAAAATGGGAATGAACTGTGTTGCGAGTGTTGCAATAATGGTTCTTTGATATCACGATTATTTCCCCTTCTTGACAAGCCTCGTTCTGAGTTCGGGATCTCATTGTAAAAGAAAGAGTACAAACCAGTTTTTCTGGCAGGTAGGCTACGCACCAGGTTGTTGTTTGGGCTTCTTTACAAGTGTCAATCCTTCAATAATGTGATGCAATATGCAGCCGTCACAGGGTTTAACACCCCTTTCAATACTATTAGGGTATTTAACACCTTGCGGTCAACTGTGAAAATTATTCGTTCCCGTAACAGGCCGAGAAGTCTGTTGCAGTCGCTCTCCAGGGGGTGTTTTGTAAAGCTGGCTGTGTGACTGCAAATGGTTAAAAGGCGGGACCTCCGAATTGAACATCCATCTCCGATAGGACAATAAAAAATGTATTAATTATTAATTGCGTTTTTTCCATGCTGGCTGGCAGCTATGTACATGCTATGGTCATTTGTTACACAAGAGCAGCGGTACGTGACAAAGGCAGATGGTCACGTGAAACACAGCCATAAATTATAATGTTCCACATAACGTTATCAGATTATCTCTTACAGCCCCAGCAGTGAATATTTCCCTCACAGGGTGTCCATCGGCCACCTCATACCCAGTTGTGTGTTTTTAGCGAGAAAGTGGCCGCCAAAGTTTTGTGATTTCCAAAGCTAGAGAGTCCTTGGAAACTCCTATTTAAGGGGAGGTGGCTAATGAAAATGCCAAAACTCAGTTCCAACCATTTTGTAGCCACTTTATATGCATCAATGGATACATACACTTTAAAAAAGAGGTTTTGTGAAATAAAACTTGATTACCTTGCAACCATGGAAAGTGTTGTTGTCAAGGGGTAAAGTTTAGCATTTCTTGACGTTTTGTTTGAATCCCCCCCCCCCCCCCCCACCGCTTTCAAATACATTTTTATATATATTAGAGGTCTCTTTAGGTTTTGGGACCTTCACAAACGGATTCTTGACATATTTTTCTGTAAGAATATCCAAATACAAGTACTCAAAGTTCCATTTTTTTTTTTTAAGCAAATACCCGATTTTCTAGGGGATCGAGACCCGCGGATCCCCTTAATATTTCTGCATAAAGAAAAAACACCAGGCTGAGTAGAAGAATTGCACGATTCATGCAATAATCATTCAGTTTGAACTTACACAAAATGTACTTGCTGGGGTTTCGTAGATTTCTGTTATGACTGTAAACAATGACTGTAAACAATGACTTAACAATGACATGATGTAGAGCGCCAACTGAACTGGCTCACCATACACAAAGTGTTAAAAACCAGGATACACCCATTCATTGGCACAATATTATACGTAACATTTGAGCTCATGTGTGAGAAAGCACCCTTACTACCAGAATGACGTATCCGATTCTTCGCATCTTTGCGGGAGATTTCTGAGCCGTCGTCGTCCACGTAGGTACTGTCGTCCAGGTCGAAACTGTCGTCGCTGCCGTCTTCCGCTCCCTGGCCGCCTCCACTCACAGAGGCCGACCCTGAGCCCGGCCCATTGTTCTCCACGTCCTTGGGCTCTGCACACTGGAGGAATACACAAACAAGATCTAAACTGCCGAAACCTTCCTTATTGTGAGAGTGAAAAGAAAGAAGATTCCGGATATTGAGTTCAACTTTATTGTGAGAATGAAAAGACAGAAGATACCAATTGCCGACTTGTACTTTATTGTGAGGATGAAAAGACAAAAGATACCAATTGCTGAGTTTTACTTTATTGTGAGGATGAAAAGACAGAAGATACCAATTGCTGAGTTTTACTTTATTGTGAGGATGAAAAGACAGAAGATACCAATTGCTGAGTTTTACTTTATTGTGAGGATGAAAAGGAAGAAAAATCCAGATGCTCAGTTCTACTTTTACGACTGCCAACTTTTCGAAAGCAAAAAAAAAAAAAATCCTATTTTTTAAAAAGTTTTTATACGTACTGGGTTGTCAGCTATACATGAGTGACACCTACGTCTCTACACACCTGATTGGCTGACCCTGGCGTCGTCATTGAAACCACAGAGGAAAGCTGCTGTTGCTGCTGCTGTTGTTGTTGCTGCTGCTGCTGTTGTTGTTGCTGTTGTTGTTGTTGCTGCAAAATCTGCTGCTGCAGCTGCAGGTAGTGCAGGTAAGGCTGTGGTATGACCAGTGGCGAGCCAGTCGTTGTACTGGCGCTACCGGACATGCCGTTAACCTCAACGCTCTGCTCCGTGGCGGCGGCGCTGACGCTGCTACTGCTGCTGCTGCTGCCCTCTGCTGACTGCGACTGCTGCCCTTTCCTCCCATCTCTGCGGGTAGCGTGGGCGGGGGAGGTGGCAGGTGGTGATGGTGTCGCTCCGGCCGGCCTGGGTGGTGGGGGCGGCTGGTGGGTGCTCGTGGACATCTGTCCCCGTCTCCCGGCCGGCTGCGGGCGCTCGCCGCGTCTGCGTGGTGTGGGCGGCCGGATGCTGGCGGGGAAAGGAGCACGAGGGTCGCGTCTACACCCTCTCAAGGTCACAGGGGCCCAAACTCTTGCACTGCAAGAAACAAAAAGAACAGGGTAAAATAGGCTTTACCAGTTGGTCAAAAACATGTCTCAAAACTCTTGCACTGCAAGAAACAAGAACTACAGTGTTAAAATAGGCTTCAGCAGCTGGTTAAAAAACATGTTTTAAGTTATTTAAAAATGTAGATGATTTTACCCCCACTAACACCACAAACATTCTACATTTGTGGACGATATGGTACTACTAGCTGGAAGTTTTCCATATCTTATATGTTCTTGTCTGAAAAGACAATGTACAGTCGAACCTACTCTAGCGACCAACTATCTAAGACAATCACCGGTACAAATGACCCCTACCCATTTCCCTTTACGCTATTTTCTAAGTATCAAAATGACAATGTTTAAGACAAGAGGACCACCTATCTAAGGAAACCATTTTTCCACTAGCTGTTAACCGGCACGATCAGCAGACAGACCCGTTCATGGATCCTGAGGAGGAGGGAGGAGCAGCCATGGCATTGTGCCGCCTGCAATGACACCTATTCTCAAACCAAGTAAGTAAGTAAGAGACCATTTTTCTCCTCAACAAGGTGCCATCATCTTGGACAGGTTTGACTATACCAAATGTGTACCAATAGGCCTACAGTTTTGAAATTTGCACACTATTTCAGTATTCTATTCAGGAAATAGGTCTGAGGTCTCACTATGTCAAACCAATACAGTTTTGAAATTTGAGCACCAGCTCAGTATTCTATTCAGGAAATAAGTCTGAGGTTTCATTATGTCAAACCAATACAGTTTTGAAATGTGGGCACCATTCCTGTTTTAAAAACACTCTTGGATACCAATACAACTTTGAAATTTGAGCATCATTTGAGCATTCTATTTTTTAACACTTTTCCATCAATTGGGTCTGAATAGGTTTTTCCCGATCTGTCAATTGGATTGTTAAAGTGAAATGAAAGTGATAAGTTGTTTTGCCTTTTCACATTGAGACTTCGGAGCAATAATGAGGAGATTGACGAATACACAAACTTTTAGTCGGCACATTGAAATAATGCGCAGATTGACGAATAGACGAACTTTTAGTCAGAGCAATAATGCGCAGATTGGCGAATAGACAAACTTTTAGTCAGTGCAACGATAACGAGGAAGAAGAAGAAGAAGACGGTGCAACAATGCGCAGATTGATGGAAAAGTGTTCAAGAATTCCACAGTCTCACCTGGTCAGGCCAGGTGTGTGTTCTGAAGCTGACCTTGGTCGTCACCTGTGAGCTGGACACTCTGCACCCAGCCCACATCGCTCACAGAGCAGCCTGCTTCCTACTTCCACACTGGAGAAAACAAAGAAAAAAAACATATAGACAATTAGTTATGTTTTGGTGAAGAGTTTTACGACACTTTAAAAAAAAGGTTTAGTAGAGGTTTTACGGTGCTTGCAACACAATAAGATCATACAAGTGCCAAAGATTAGAGGTGTAACAAGAGAGTAACAAACACAAAAAAGAAGGAGGAGAGCTCAAGACAATAGATGTCCGACAGGAAAGAAGGAGCAAACCACACCAGAGCACCCACCAACCACCCACTCATGCGACTCAAACACATGATGCAAGTACAAGTGATCCTTCTTTCCTATCAAACATCTATCATCCTTATCTCTCCCTCCTTCTTTTTTATGTTTGTTACTCTCTTGTAACACCTCTAATCTTCTGGAGCTCATATGACCTTATGCAGTTGCGAGCGCCGTAAAACCTCTACTAAACTAAGTACAAGTATCAAAGATTAAGGGAGTTACTAGAGAGTAATGTACAGAGACGAGAAGAACAGATGCAGACACTGGATGTTTGGGAGGAAATATGAAGTAACAAACCTCACCAGAGCCCCCGCCAACCACCCACTAATTCAGACAATGGATGTTTGGGAGGAAAGATTAAGTAACAAACCACCACCAGAGCACCCGCCAACCACCCACTAATTCAGACAATGGATGTTTGGAAGGAAAGATTAAGTAACAAACCACACCAGAGCACCCACAAACCACCCACTGATGCAAGCAATAGATACTTGGGAGGAAAGATTAAGTAAGAAACCATACCAGAGCACCCGCCAACCACCCACTAATTTAGACAATGGATGTTTTGGAGGAAAGATTCAGTAACAAACCACCACCAGAGCACCCGCCAACCACCCGCTAATTTAGACAATGGATGTTTGGGAGGAAAGATTAAGTAACAAACCATACCAGAGCACCCGCCAACCACCCACTAATTCACACAATGGATGTTTGGGAGGAAAGATTCAGTAACAAACTATACCAGAGCACCCGCCAACCACCCACTAATTCACACAATGGATGTTTGGGAGGAAAGATTCAGTAACAAACTATACCAGAGCACCCGCCAACCACCCACTAATTCACACAATGGATGTTTGGGAGGAAAGATTAAGTAACAAACCACACCAGAGCACCCGCCAACCACCCACAGACAAACTCTGAGTCTGATAATATGAGTGATAACACC